TTTCATAAATTATAAATTCTCCCACTAATGTGGGAAAACAAAAATGATTTTTTAATGGTAACACTGATTCTAAATTACAATTATCAATGTTTTATTTCAATTATAGCCTTATTTACGATATTATCAATACAAAAACCATAAACTTACACGTAATAAGTAATTCCGCATGATTTATTATGGTTTTGTGACCTTGAATCGCATTCTTTCACTACGCATTTACCCATTTTGGCGATTGTTACTGTCATGTGTCGCTATGTTCAACTCGGTTGACGCCACATTGAACACTGAATTGACGTTTGCTACGCATATGCCTGTGGACAGATGTGCAGTAGCAACGATTTTAGGCGGTAATTACTCATCTATGTAAGTATTATATCAATGGGTCATAAGGAGTTTTAATTTTTTTTGGAAGTGTTGCACCCATTTTTTATTTATGCACTTTTTGGTACTAATACTAGACATAGTAAGCTACATTTTTTCTGTGATTGTACCTCTGCGTGAATTATGAATAAAATCTATCTATATTTTTTTTTATAGTAAATACAACTGAAAAATTCTATAAAAATATATAATGTAGACTAATATTTTGTCTAATGACCAGTTTTTGTTTCATTAGTGTAGCTGTAATAGTTTTCGAAAAAAATAATTTTGAAAAATACCCGCTCTAGCGTCTTTTTGATCAATTATCTCCAAAACGCAGAGACATAACAGGCTGAATTTCAGTTAACAATTAGGACGTCGCGGCGCGCGGATCACCTATGACCCATTACTGTCGCGCCCTTGAACTAGTGACCCTCAATATCTACGTTATTTTATAATTATATTCAATGAAAAAACATATTTGGAATCCCTGATATATATTCTTCTAAACTTAATAAAGATTAAACGTGTAAAACTTAATTGAAATGCACAGTTATATGATTTGTACACAAAATATACCTACACTATCACTGGCGTCGATTTATAACACTCATATAAACACCAAAACTTTGCATTTTGACAGAAATTCACAGCACTTTACATAGCTTGTAATCCTATTTATTGAAAACAATTAACACTTGGCATAAACTACCATTTCATCATACTAAAAAAACAAAAGTTTTGAAACAATAACACAAATCGATTACGACGCCATAATGGCGCGAAAATAACTGGCCGGCGGCGGAGTCGCAGCGGCCGGAGTCGGAGCACGGTACTATTATAATACAGTACTCCAACTTCATACAAACGGACGAAACGCGAGCTATACCTACGCGCCTCGATCTCGGGGTGCGCTCGGGGCGCAGACAGTCACGGCTGTACCGCAGTGTCGAACCGACGGTGTGTTGTTTTTTTAACAATAACCGCCCGATTTTTTTTCTAAAATCAGTTAATATGACGAGTGGGAAATATTGTGCTGTTTTTGGTTGTATGAATTCGTCAATAACGCATCCAGACATAAGTTTTTTTAAATTACCTGGAAACTCTGAAAGGTAAGACTATAAAAGAATTTTACTTCCTAGTAGGTAGGTACATATCTCAGGTGTGTCTTTTTAATGGATAAGTATTTCCTTTTATCTCACGAAAAAAAAGGTGTTTGGATTAATAAATAAAGCGAATAGAGTAACGGAAAGTTATTGAGACGAGTGAAATAGGTAGCTATATGCGGTTCTGAATGAATCATGATACGGTAGGTACCTACCTACTTACGCTTGTGTTAAAACTTCGGTGCATGTGTGTTTTGTTACTTTGCATAATTCAAAGTAGAGACGTGGTATTTTATTATTAATAATATTTGTTTATTATCTGTGTGTATGAATAATACTAGATTTTTTTTTTACCGTCTGTGTGTCATTAGATAGTTTTCGAATTTTTCACAAAGTGTTTCTGCTGCTACGGTAACAACATATGCCACTAAAAACTGGTTTTATTTTCTCGGTATTGACAACAACAGCTAGACTCATATATAATATTTAGATGTTTGAGGGTTGTGATTTTAAAACATTCGTAGTCAGCTGTTCAGCTTTTTAATAATTAATTAATTGGTGAACAAAGAATTTTTATTCTATAAGTACAATAATAATAAGTAATAGAAAGTACATTTTTTTTTATTCTATAGAAGAATTTTTAAGCTATTGCATAGCTTTTATCGCGGGCTCTGAGCGCGGCGCGGCGCGGTGACCGATTCAAGAAATTCTCAAAACCTAACGAAAAATACCTGACACCACGCAGATTTTTTTCTTTAAAAAAAAAATGTTATGCAATAGCTTTACCGCGGCAGTCTCCGAGAGTGCCACATGTATTTTTTTTTCAGACGTCTTCAATGGTTGCAACTGATCCGGCGAGATGATTTGGAAAACAAACCTAACTTTAGTTCCTACCAAGTTTGTGAAAAACATTTTAATTTGGAGGATGTATTACATTCATCAAATAGAAAACTTTTAAAAAAGAATGCCCTACCATTGTTGATGCTTCCAAGCTTAGCTAGTACTGATCCAGGAGTCTCTCTAAAAGAAGATAAACAAACCCAAACTGCTCCATTAGTAGGAAATGAAAATAGTACACAGACTGAAAATGCAACAAATGAAATCTTTGCTCAAACCTCAACGAGTCTCTCTAGCAACACTCCAAGAAAAAGAAAATTGAAACTTGAACTCCTCCAATGCAGAAAGAAAATAAAATAATTAAATCTACTAATCAAAAAACAACACGCATTTTTATTGAACACTTCCTATTCGATATACAAAGTATTTCATTTATTTATATAAAAAGGATATTTACAATCACAAATCTAAATAGAAACAGAAAGTAGGCAAATATAATTAAAATGCTGGAGACGGGCAGCCCTAACGCATGTTTACGTACCGCGCGGCTGTAGGCATTTATTTCTATCATGCGGCCGAGTTACACTACTGTATTATAATTGTACCGTGGTCGGAGCGTTGTAGCAGTTGTAGGTACCTATCGGCGGAATGTCAAATGTACCGTCCGCGCGTAAAGATCCACAATTGATATAATTTTAGTTTCTTGAAAAATTTACATCAATGGTTTTTACATTTTGATTTGTTTGTGTATTTCCCGCGTCGGCGGGAATACCGTATGTCCTGCTACGACAACGCTTGTAAAAGCGACGGAATTAGTGTTTGTTTTAGTAGCATAATGTTGTTGTAGTGATTACGTCTCGTTATTTTAGGTATAAAATTAGTATACAAGGTAAAAAACATGCAGTAAAAATGAAAAGACAAATTATGAAATGAATTTGTGTTTATTTATTATAGCGTTATAGTGATTACGTCTAGTTACTTTAGGTATAAAAATAGTATACAAGGTAAATAACATACAGTAAAAATGAAAAGACAAATTATGAAATGAATGTGTTTACTTATTATAGCGACGCATTAAAAAACGTATTGGACATGAAACATCATCTTATCATAAATTGAAGTGGACATGAAACATCATCTCATCATAAATTGAAGTGAACATGAAAAATCATCTCAACAAGTCGAGTGCCAGTATGCTGTACAGCTTGCAAGGTCACCCGCGTCGGTTTTTATGTAATTTTGAGATATTATAATGTTGCCAAATAAATAATGTTTTCATTTGATTTCATCCCCTTCGGAGCTCCAGGAATGCATCATATTTTGCACTTTTACGACAAACAATATAAAAACAACACGTGACTGGAAAAAAAAAATGGTTAATGTTGCTATCGGTACTTTACGCCATATTACGATTATTTTGGATAAAATTTTCGTAAATAACAAAATTATAAGTCTTTAATTATAGATTACTACTCAATAATATAAGATAAATAAGAAAGGTTATGAAATATATTACTGGGAACTCGAATAATTGTATATCGTATCAAAATAGACGGCGCCATTTTGGCCGTGATTGGATGACTTATTTGTAAATATCAAATTTAAGTTTATAATTATAGTTTACTCAATAATATACAATAAATAAGAAAGATTATGAAATATATTACTGGGTAATAGCTAAATTACTTCGAATAATTATATTTTACAACATAAAAACTACAGTTACATTCACAAGGCACACGCCATTTTTGGCCGCGTTTGACTTTCAAGTGTTTTTTTGTTGTAATTTATACAACAAAGATAATAACTATACATATTGAAATAAACTAGATTTCTTGGCAAGTATTTTGATATATAATACATAAAGTTTACTTACGAGTTTCCTTCGCTATCCATTTTCGCAAAATCACTTGATGTCACTAACTTGCGCTCTCAAGCGAACGGAATGAAGTTTGTGGTCACTTTGTCTTGATTGGACAAGTAGTTACTTTTTTTGTTTTAGCTAACAACCAATCACAATTTAGAATGTAAAAAGAGTCAATACACGTTCTAATGATATAGCATAGTCCTATTGGTGGGAATGTATTAGTATCGAAATAAATTGTTGAACATGGCGCTGTCGTCGCGTCACAACTGTTGTGACAGAGATGCTACCGCGTAAAAATTTGGTGTCACAACTGTTGTGACGGCGACGCGTCGGAGGTGTTGTCACCTCGCCGATGTTGCCTAATGAGTTAGTTTCAAAATATCTTTCTGGGGCCGTTGACCCTACCTTATCCTGCTAGACCCTTTCTGACTTTTTGACTATTCATGGGGTAGAACACGTTTTTTCTGCTCCGTACCACCCGGCATCGAGTGGGGCCGCAGAAAATGCAGTGCGTACGGTTAAAAGAATTATAAAAAAAGCTTTTACACAAAAAGAAAATATTAATTTATTTTTAAATACCTTCCTTTTGCACTATCGTAATACGGAGCACTATTCTACAGGGGAAAGTCCGGCATAATTGATGCTAGGTAGGAATTCACGTACAAAATTAGACGCGTTAAGGCCAAACAGGGAGAATAAAGTTATAAAAGCTCAAGAACGACAGCAGAAATTAGGAACGGACGTTAAACGTTCTTTAGAGATAGGGGAGGAAATTTGGATAAGACAATATAGGGGAAATGAAAAATGAAGTCCAGGGCAGGTAGTGGATAATGGGTACTACGGATTATAAAGTCATGGATTTGTCGGGTAGGGAAGCTCATAGACATATTGACCAGTTAAGACAGCGATCGCGAAGCTCTTTAATTTGTCCGACAAGCACATCAGAACGGAGTTCTCTGGAAGCGGAACGTTCCGAAAAATCCGAGGTGATACCAGCGTCAGTTGCCGGGGAGACACAAGGCCCTCGGAGCGTGAGGGAGTTAAGTCCGGTTCGAGCGGCGATTGTCGAGGAGTTGCCGTCGGTGTCAACTTCTGGTTCAGTTCCTCGCACTAATGTTTCTAGTCCTGAGGTGTGTGTAATACTTCCTCAATCTGAGGATCCTGTTCAAGAAGTTGCCAGCCCCCGTCCCTTACGGGCGTGTCGCCTAAAAAAAAGGCAACCCAGATGTTAATGTTATAAATGTAAATGTAAAATAATAAGATAATGTTGTAATGTAACGTAAATACCGTAAAAACGTATAACGTAAAAAATATAATTCGTAAGAAGTAGTTTTATGTAGTGTGTACCTTATTTAATGTATAAATACAAGGGTCTAGAATTAAGAAAATAATGTGTGTTAGTACAATTTAGAAAGTAATGATGTATTATTAAAGGTGGAGGGGTGTAATATATTTAGGTTTACCCACCTAAGTTAGAATGTCAAGTGGCCCAATATAAGCGGACACATTCTTGTAACCGATTCATTCGTAATATACGCTCGCTATAAATCAACATTCTTTTATTTACACCAAGACTCTTCACTTACTATCGTAGATTCATTTGTAAATTTGCTGATATTGCTTCGCCACTAACAAGATTGACAGCTGGTAGTAAAAATTCTAAAAAACCTCTTATTTGGAATAATGACGCTGAAAATGCTTTTCGAAATCTTAAAGAAGCCTTAATATCTTCCCCTGTATTACGTTGCCCCGATTTTTCTAAACCTTTCTTTTTACATTGTGATGCTAGTTCAGTTGGGATTGGTAGTGTTTTGAGTCAGGAAGACGAGGATGGAGAGCAGTATCCCGTCGCGTTTTACTCTAGATCACTTAATAAATTTAAACGAAATTATAGTACCACAGAACGTCAATTTTTAGCAATTTTAGATTCCATAGAACACTTTAGGCCTTATATTGAAGGAATGGAATTTACCGTTATCACTGATCACGCTTGTTTAAAATGGCTTCTAAAATTAAACAATCCTAGTGGACGTCTAGCAAGATGGACTGCTAGAATTTCTCAATTTATATTTCATATTGTTAACAAAAAAGGTTCCTTACACTTAGTTCCAGATGCTTTATCTCGTATTGAGATATCTACAATTTTGGTGTCCGCTATACAAGTTATCTCACCCGATGATGATATTGTTGACCCTTGGTATAGAAAAATATTTGTTAATTGTCAAAAGTTGCCTTCTAGATATAAAAAATTCAGAGTTGATGACAACACATTATACAAATTCAGTAAGAATAAATTCAATCCGGATAGTAGATTAAATTGGAAAATTGTTATTCCTAAAGAACACATTCTTGATACTATTAGATCAAATCACGATGATATTATTTTTGGTCATCTTGGGATTCATAAAACTATTAAGAAATTAAAACAAAATTATGTTTGGAACGGCATGTTTAATGATGTTCAGAACTACTACGGTGGAGCTACTTAATGTTGATCGGTCAGCTGATATTCAGCAGATAAAAGAGATCACATCTCTTCCGCAAAGACATGAGCTTGATGAGCCACCGTCATTGCAGGAAGTAATAGTAGCTATCAAGAATCAGCAAAGCGGGAAGGCGGTTGGCATGGATGGTATTCCTGGTGAACTTTTGAAGTACGGGGGGGAGGGGCTATATGACATGATATGGAAACTTTTTACTCAGATGTGGCGTGATGAGCAAGTTCCATCTGACTTTAAGATCTCGCAAATCTGCTCACTATACAAGAATAAAGGTGACAGATCCAGCTGTAATTCCTATCGTGGTATATCGCTGCTCTCTACGCCCGGAAAAGTCTTTGCTCAACCGTCTGACCTCAGTTTCGGAGGAAATACTTCCGGAATCCCAGTTTGGCTTCCGCCCTGAGAGAGGAACCTGTGAAGCTGTCTTCTGCGTGCGACAGCTGCAAGAGAAAAGTCATGAACAAGGTCGACCATTGTTCCTCTGTTTTGTTGATTTAGAAAAGGCCTTCGACTGTGTTCTTCGTAGGGCCCTATGGATTGTTCTGGAGAGGGTGGGTTGCCCGGCGAAATTTGTCCGTCTGGTTCGCCTACTACACGATGGCATGACATGCTGTGTGTCTGCAATTGGGGAACAATCAGGTTTCTTCCCCGTCACATGTGGGGTTAAGCAAGGCTGTGTCCTTGCTCCCACACTATTTGCCATCTATTTTGCAGCTGTAGTGAACGAGACGCTACAAAAAGTACCTACAGGCCTCCGCATTCGCTTCCGAACTGATGGAAAGCTTTTCAATCTGGCTAGGTTGAAAGCCCGCACCAAGGTTTCGTACAAAATGATAACCGAGATTATGTACGCGGATGACTTATGCTTTTTAGCCGATTCCCCGACTTCTCTGCAACAGCTGATGACTGGTCTTGACGAAGCGTGCACCACTTTCGGCCTTAAGATAAATGTCAGCAAGACAGAAGTCATGACAACAGGCGTCTCAACAGATGAACCTCTGAAAATCTGTCTCGGTCAAGATGTCCTGAAGCGCGTAGAGAAGTACAAGTACCTGGGAAGCACAATAACATCTCAGTGCGACCTTGATGCCGAAATAAACTGCAGACTTTTAAACTTTCGCGTTCCATGATAATTAATATTATTTAACGGGAATTAACGCGATCTCTTATTTAGGGTATTACATACCTCTGGTTTGCCTGACGTTTCGACCAGGTTGCACCGGCCGTGGTCACAGGCTGACTCAGGTCAGCCTGTGACCACGGCCTATGTAATACCCTAAATAAGAGATCGCGTTAATTCCCGTTAAATAATATTAATAAACTGCAGAATCGGTGCTGCCTCAGCCTCTTTCGGTAAACTTAGAACTAAGGTCTTTCGTTCGCACGATCTAAAACTGGCTACAAAAATCGCAGTTTACGGAGCTATTGTCCTACCAAGCCTGTTATATGGCTCAGAGACTTGGTGCCTTTACCGCAGACACATAAAGACTTTAGACCAATTTCATCTCCGATGTCTGCGGGATATCATGAACATCCACTGGACGGATCGCATCAGAAACACTGAGGTTCTTCGACGTGCTAAGATCTGCGGTATTGAAGCATATATAATGCGACGTCAATTACGCTGGTGTGGTCACGTGTTCCGTATGCCAAATGAACGGATCGCCAAGTGCATCTTTTATAGCGAGCTTCAAGAGGGTAAGCGCAAGCATGGCGGACAGCTCCTGCGATACAAAGATGTGCTTAAAAGGCATATGAAAAGCTGCGGTATTGACCCCTTATCGTGGGAGTAATCTGCGGCAAACCGCCCGGAATGGAGACGTCTCGTAAGGCAGAAGATCGACGCCTTTGAAAGCTCACGTAAAGACGAGCTCGACACAAAAAGAGACGAGCTAAAAGCCAGACCACCAACAGCTTTAATTTACCACTATAGTGGCGGCGTTCTCACTTGTCCAAAATGCTCTAGAACTTTTAAGGCCAAAATTGGCTACAACAACCATATGCGAGCACACCACCGCGCGGACCACCGAGACGACATCTGCTGAGCCTGTCCAGCAGTCGCTGTAGCCGAAATCGGCTCGGAGAGATTATTATTATTATTATTATTATTATAAACATAGCACGTCTCAACCTTTTGGTATTATGGTTAACCCTAAAAAAGTAGACCGCCCCATGGTCATGCTTTCAGTTGATATAATTGGAATTTTGCCTAAAAGTTATTCTGGACATAAATTTATTCTTTCAGTTGTAGATGTTTTCACAAACTTTTGCTAGATTTTTCCATTGGTAAAAGCAACCACCATCTATTTGCAGAATCTTTGAAAAAGAAATATTTCTTAAATTTGGTTGTCCTAAAATAAAAGTTTGTGATAATGGTACTCAATTCACTTCTAAGCATTTTGTAGATTTCATAAAAGGTTATAACATCACAAAAATATTTTATAACACTTTGTACACACCCCAAAATAACCCTGTGGAGAGGTATAATAAGACAATAGAGACTTGTATTTCCTGTTTTGTTAAAGAAGATCAACGTTCTTGGTCTAAATTTTTGCCTCATATTCAATTAGCTTTAAATAGCAGTGTAAATCTGGCTACTGATTTTACACCTAATTTACTCATGTTTGGTAGAGAATCAATTGTTGATGCCTCTCTACACAATTTTAGTGATTCTTTGGGTAACTAAGACCAACTTGAATTTGGTGAAAGAGATTCTTATGCCCTTTCCTTAAATCACTTTTTATTCGATATTTTTGTTAGAGTTCAGTCACATTTGTTAAAAGCGTATAAACATAATGCGCGTTACTATAATATTGGTAGGAAATCCATTTCTTTTGATGTTGGTGATATTGTTTGGAGAAGAAGTTTTGTTCAGTCTAATGCTCCAGCATATTTTTCAGCAAAGCTTGCACCTAAGTTTGTTAAGTGTAAAATTCTAGAGAAGATTTCAGATAATGTTTACCTTTTGCAGGACCTTATAAAGAACACCATTGGTCGTTATCACATTAAAGATATTATTAAGTATTAAAAATTTCACTATTTGGTCATTAACTTTCGGTCTTAATTTGATATATTTGTTAGATTTTACTTTTGTGTGAAGAAGTATGTAGATTGATGTATGCTAGGATATGGTGATTTGTATGTTGGTGTAGTGTGAGGAATTCATAACAATATATTAACTTTAGGTTTGAAAAGTTCAAAAGTTTACTTAGGTCATTTTGGTTTATTGATTCTTCGCTTCATTCATAACAAGAACAAGATCAAAATAATTTTTGTTCGTTATTATATTCACACTTTTCCCAGTGTAAAGTATTTTGTTTGTTTTTATATTCACACTTTTTCCCAGTGTAGAATATTTTGTTTGTTATTATATTTACACTCTTTCCAAGTGTTGAATAGTTTGTTTGTTATTAGATTTACACTCTTTCCAAGTGTTGAATATTTTGTTTGTCTTCTGTTGTATTGTGTCCGGTAGTTCGGTGGTGTTGAGCCGATCACAATACACCGGTATTTTATATATTCGCACCACCTTGTTGTGTCGAATATATAAACTTATTTCACATTTTTAGAAATGTGTTTTTCGTTTTGCCAATTTTAGGGTGAAGCATTTTTTTTCATAACTTCATTAGAGTCGGTGACGAAGGTGTCCAACCGCACTCCTTGGAAGTTGTTATCTTTATTAGATATTCAATTCCTAATGAAAGTTGTTTTAGGTTTATTTTGTCCAGTTA